TGATCTAGAGGCTCTGAAAGATCTGGCCGATTTGACCAAGACCTTAACGATCTGAACTATCTGATCGACCTGCCGGATCTGCAGAATGTGAACCTTATGGACGATATAATGTGATTGATGAGATCTTAACGATCTGAAGGATTTGGGACATTTGAAGATACCCCCATCAACCTGTACTTAAAGGGTTTGAAGAATTTGAAGGAGCTGATTGATCAGGATGATGTTAATGAGCTGAGCACTCTGAACGATATAAGCGATCTGAATCACCTGAACGATCTTGGTGATTCAAATAATCTGCAAATTAAAGCATCTAATAGATCAGAAGGATTATCTATAGAGCTGGATGAATCTGAAGGTTTTAGACGATATGATAGGTTTGACTCTGAAAGTTCACCAGCTCCTAAAGGTCTGGAAAATGTGAATTACTTGAGGAACCCCAATGTACTATTTTTTCCTTCCTTGAGTTGGGCTATTTCACGCCTACGCACTTTGACTCTCGGATCTATTGTGCGTGTCTCAGTGTCTTACTTCGAGGAAGGCAGTTTGTTAAACAATCTAAGAATCCTTTCCGGCTGCAACTCCCTGACCTGCTGAGGTGCCATTTCAGCCTCGCCCACGTCTTGTGATCTCTATCCGGAGACAGCCTCACGCTAGAGAAGAAGCGTTCCGCTGTCTCTTCCTCCTAGAAGCAGAGGCGACATGTGTTAATGTCAGTTATCCGATTTTGTTAAGATGATAGCTCAGGGGGAAGTGTCCACTTGTCCAGTGACCATTATGACCGTACTTCACTTCTGATGAGTGCTAGGAACGATCTGGTTTTAGTCTCCTGGAAACTCATCAGTTTCTTGGATTGTCTTAGTCCAAGGGTAAATTCCCATAGACGTTTCCACTTTTTCCTGAGCTGGCGACAGTCAGGAGACAACGTGCTTGTATATTCCCAACAACGCAGTTGGTACTAAAGGGGCACACATACGTAATATTATCCGTATTACGAAACGCCATTTTACAGAAGTATGATAATTCTAGAACTAACATAAAAGGAATTCTCGCGCTACATTCTATTGGTGTATTAATCAATAACGTAGATAGTTACAAAACTTTCCCGGGCTTAGAAAATAATCGATGCTACTCTTAAAATGTACCTGGAAGCCTAGGAACTAGGATGTAACAAAAGGGAAGGAAATTACTAGCAGGCAGCTTTTAAACACTACAGTTGATAAGGATGGTCACAATCTTTTCCTTTTCATCTAAATTAAAAGCTAAGGTGGACATTTACTTCCGAAAGCAACTCTACAAAAACAACATAAGGTAGCAAACGGCAT